AGTAGGAAGCGGCGTGGCGACCGCTTAAACCACTACGCCATCCGTGCAGTCAATTATTTTAGTATTTGTTAATACCTAATTCATTCTATGTGATACAAAAATGAAGCCGTGTCTAAAGTCCTACCTTTTAAATTGCCTTGCGTTGACGGCAACGAGAAGAAGTAGTTAAAAAGTGAGTAAATCGGTCATCTTAATATAAAATAATCAGTATTCTTAACGCAGGTGAGTACCGCCGCTTACGGGATTCTTACCTACATCCTTTTAGTACCACATCAAGTCGATATAGTTTCTCTTATTTGTTTATCCATGTACGACAGCTGCACTTTCCGATTTATTTATTTGTACTTCCTGTAAAAGGTATGTTGGATTTTATGAGGTAGGCATTTCTCTCAGTTAACCTTTGGGTGGTTTTATTTCATGGGATAGAGGCTAAACGAGCAAATTGGTCACCTGAACGCCTATTCTCGTATTAAATCTCGTGTTCCGATCAAATCTTGATCCCACAACTGTTAGAAAAGGTATTCTCGTTGTTAAAGTATTAAACATCCAATGTTGACGGTATTGTGACCGAAAATTAAATCGGTAATCTGCTAGTCTTAGTAACACTTTACTATTTTGATCGAGAGTCGATCGGAATTTTTGACCGAACTTTTAATACGGGAATAGGCGCCCTGATCATCAGTGACTACCGCCGCCCATACACACATCTCACACACGACAGTCTGGTCCCAAAATAGGCAGAGCTTGTGCTATGGTAACCAATCTGCTGATAAACATACTTATATATTTCAAAATACATACATATTATAGATAAATTACACAGACACAGAAGAAATGATCGTGCTCATCACTCAATATATGTCCTGGGTGAGAATCGAACTTACGACCTTTGCATCAGCAGTCAGGGTCACTAACAACTAGACCAACAGGCTCGTCCATAGACATCTGCAGCGCAAGACTCATAAGTGCGTGGCCTCCATCTAAATCCCCTTCTCCAGAATTATTTGGTCTTCGGTGACCTAAAAACCAACGAAAAAGTGCTTAACACCGGTTTTATATGAGGCCCTGAGCCGGTCGGTGTACATAGACCTATGGCAGTTGTATATTAAAGTCTTAAAAGAAAGGACTTGATATAAATGTGTGTTGTAGATTAACCTACATAAGTATACTAGATACATACATAAATGTAAATATATCTTACTAATACTATATAAATATACATGTGAAAGTTTTGATGTATGCTTGTTTGTTCAATAGAGGTTGGATGGCTGAACGAACCTGAATGAAATTTAGCACAGAAATAGATTATAATGTGCTGGTTTTTATCTCCAAAAAATAGGCTTAATTTAAATTTTTGAGAGCTAAGCCGCAAGTGAAAGCTTACAATACTAATACTTGTAAAATATAATTCAGGTAATTTCGCTAATTTATTTCTTTACAGCTTGCGGAATTTCGCCCTAAAAGTAAATTAACCATCTTGATTTCTTCTAGATAAATAATAACAATCACTGTGTCTGTAATGATATGCAAGCAATAAATTAATTTAATGCCATTATTGCTTGAATATTTCCTACTTGCGAGTTACTCCTCCTCAGTTTCCCCAATTCTAATGTCTACGACTTCCCTTGGGACCTTTTTTTAGATCTTGCCGTGGGTGAAAGATGGTACCCACCATCTGTGTCTGTCCTGAGCTTTGTGTAGAGTACAGTGGGTTGGGTTCCGAGGGTGGACCGTCCCTGTCGGATCGGCGTGACGGGGTCAGCCTTTAAATTGTAGTAAACGCAACAAAAATTTCGCCACAACCTGAGCGTGTAAATTTTTAATGGGTATCATCTTTTCTAACGCTTTGCTGCAACGTTGGAGTGAATTCGTGAAAATAGATATGACACTGTGGAACAGAACAGCACTCACCGGTTCTAGAGTCTACCTTGGAAGAGTACATTTCACATATCAGCCGGCTCGACTGGAGCAACGAAGTGACGCCATAGAAAACTTGTGTAGAGCAATTCTTATCGGAGGTCCAATACGCCGTCTTGTGGCACAAAAAGCCGGTAGCGCATTTTTGACTCTTGAGCCGTATCCATGGACGGCAGTAGTCACTTACTATCAAGGGACCCTTCTGTTCGTTGGGCCTAATAATATTTACTGTACTCTGTGGTCGGGCCCCATGATGTACAAATACAAATAAAAAAAACAAATACAAATACTCCAAAAACACTCATTTTTTAAAAATTAGAACAGTGAATTGGGCTCTTTAGAAATCATATAAGAAATCAGGTGTATATCGTATTGATTCAAACAAGTACAAATCATAAAAAGAAAAATCGGTCGTGATGCACGGGACAGTAGGAGAATGTGTATATGTATTAGTGATGTAGAATGTCGGGTGCCTTCGTATTTTTGCATTGTTTGTTCGATTGTTATACTGTACTATTGAGTCACTTAATTTGTATTGTTCAAAAAATGCTTGTACTTGTGTAACAATTTATTCTTCTGCGTTCCCTCTCAAATTTTGCAATGCCTGGAAAAGGCTTCTAAGTTGGGACTACTACATATAATATTATAAGATCATTGATGTACACTTGGTTGGCAAATAAAGATTTGATTTGATTTGTATAGTTATTAGATTGCGCTGTCAGATGCCGTACACAATAAATTAAGGTTTGGTCCTTATTTACCTGCTGTTGTAACAAAATAGTAAGTCTTACGAACAATAAACAAGAGAATAAAGAAAGTGGTTGCGTAAAGTTACTGTTCGGATGAATAGTGTTAATCCATTTATCGCGTCTTAGTTGCCGAAGTGGTAATACCGAAAATGATATTACAGTGCGAAGAAAGTTTACACTCAGGCGGTGAGGGTCTTTGTGTTTGACTTTTACCGGACTTTCGTAGCATATAATACAAGTCAATAATATTGTAAATATTCGTGAACAAGTCTTGAAATGACTTGCACACGAGAGGCAGTTGACATAACTGATAATAATAAACTCGATGATAAAGTTTGTTTGTTTTTTTATTGCATTTACCTTAACTTCATCCAAATTATATTTTTTTAATGTAAGTGGTTAAATGAAAACAGAGGAAACAGCTTAGAAACTCCAAAAACACTCTTTTTTAAATTAGAACCGTGAATTGGTCTCCTTAGAAATCAAATCAGAAATCGTATTGATTCAAACTAACATGGGCATTTTCACTGGATGACTTATAAGAAACGGGATATTTACCATATTGGACGGGCCTGTTGGTCTAGTGGTTAGTGACCCTGACTGCTAAGCCGGAGGCCGTGGGTTCGATTCCCACCCACGACAAATATTTGTCTGATGAGCACGATCGTTTGTTCTGTGGCTGGGTATAATTCATCTATAATATGTATGTATTTAGAAATATATAATAATAATAATAATAATATGATTTATTTCACAATATGGCACAAAAATACATAAACAGCGTAACAAACACGATATTCACAGTATTTACGATAAACTCTGGTACCCAGAATAAGATTCAACTTGTGTTTGGAGCATGGTCATTTATTGTGTCTGGGTGTTATTTATATATTTTATAATATGTGTGTATTTTAAAATATATAAGTATGTTTATCCGCAGTCTGGTTACCATGGTACAGGCTCTGACAAGTTTGGGACCAGACGACCGTGTGTGAGATGTGAGAGGTTATTATTATTATATTTATTTACGAGAATTTGTTTCCTATATTATTACGTCACTTTTGCAAGCGAATTCGCGGAAATAAACGTAGAATAAATATCCCGTTAAGATGGGAAGGCGATGGATATCACATGGTGGATGGATAACATTTAGGAGAGGGATATTTATTCATACAAAATTAATTGCCCTAGCTGATTCTTCAGCTGATTCGCAGAGTCTAAACCGCTGGAGCCACAAACCTGAAATTATTGCAGCTAAAACTTTTTATGCTGTTTGAAAATTTCACCCCTAAGGGGATAACATAAGCGATGAACGGATGTATGGAAGGTCGTCATGTTCAAAGTTAGAATCACCGAATATAAAAAAATAATCACCTGCAACCGGGTGCAATAGCTAATGGCCTATAAAGTTGGATTGGGTATTGTGAGCAATACCCAAATTCAAATTCAAAGGGCCTCAATTCTGCTATTCAATATTATATCAAGACAGGACTGTCGGTGGAATGTCGTCGGAATAGTTTTACACTTTTACTATTCTATTAACTATGTAATGGCCTCCCGATAACTTGTTACTGATACAAATGTCGTCGATGTCTTTGTAAAAGTTTGGTAAACGGTACATTTTAAATTTATTAGAAAAAGATGTATTTAATTTTCCAGGTATGTCAATGTTGTTGATGTCACCATTGATCACCTATATTACTATTTCGACAGTCTATGGACACTGAAATAATTTTAGTAGAATACTGATATTTTGACCGATGTGAATGGTGTCTCAGTGGCATTTCAATAGCGTGTCAATGGAATGACAGTGGCTTGGCGTTAACATAAATAGGAGAATTGAGGCCCATGTCAATAAGTGTTGTACGAGTCCGAACCTTCTAGATATTTACGTATTTCAGTGACTCACAGCAGTAGCTTACATACATGTAGTTATGCAAAACAAGCCACCTTGATTTAACACAATTCCTTTAAGTATTTAAACATATTTTTTGCTATAAAAATTCTTGCATTTGAGAGGTCGAGTTTCTGTGACTATTTAGCTATTGGTGGAAACTTTAAGAACTGTAGTAGAACTGTGTGTGTAGAACTGCTATTAAGTCAAATATGTTGGTAATAGTTAAATAATACTCAAATTTGGCTTTAAAAAGTTTAATCTTATCTTCATATAATACACACCTCAACGTATGTTTACGCTTAATTCGATGCTTACTAACCTGGCTTAATATACTCCTATTAAGTCAAGGTATACTACTAATAGTATATCACAACGCCAAAGCTAAACCTAGGTATAAACTTATTACCTAAATATTTATTTATTTTTCAGTATTGTTCTTAGTAGCGCGTTCGTCTGTCCTTGTTGCGAGCGTGAGTCGCGAGACAAAGACCGAATACTGCAGCGACCAACTGAAAAAGAAAAAAAACAGTTTTTACTATTGTAGTGGAGCACCAACTATCCAGGTAGGTATATGAAATTTGGAACGATGGCGGAAATTTACGGCTGGTATTAGTCTGAACAATTCCTCGGAATGATATATGCGATAGAGAATGCAGAGTGAAGCCACATCTCTACGTAACGCCAAGAGATCGAGCCAATCGGAGATTTTTGGGCTATCGACGATTCGAGTCGCTCTTCGTTGGATGCGGTCCAGAGGGAGAAGGTGGTACTGAGGTGCTCCTGTATAGACATGAGAACAGTATTCCATATGCGGCCGGACTTGCGCCTTATAGAGCTGAAGGCGGTGGGCCAGAGTGAAATACTGCCTCGGTCTGTTCAGTACACCGAGCTTCTTCGAGGCCAATTTGACCTTACCCTCTAAGTGACCCCGAAACTGGACTTCGCTCGATATGTCGATGCATAGGATTCCAAAATTTCTTAGTTATATAAAACCTTTTTTAAAATTTCATTCTGTGTTTCCCTATTCTAAGTCATATTGTAGTGTCGTCTTTGAAATAATTATGTTTATAAATCGTCTAAAATTCTCAGAGATATCTTTTGTTTTGTTATGTACGCACAGTTTATGAAGGTTTTGAAATATATGATATTTATAAGGAAAAATTAAGTGCTTTGGGTGTTTGTAGAACATCGGATCTAGATACGGCTACCTATCGCATGATTACAAAAACCTTATCTCTCCCTATTTAACGTTTTCGATATACATTTCTGATATCCATGTTTATTAAGCCATTGAGTGTGTTTATTACATTCCAGTCAGTTATCTTTACAGCACATATGACCCACTCAGAATACTAAAGATTAAACAGACAGGTATATGAATTAAGACATGAATACACTCATCACTTCCAGCAGTTTGCTATGTAATTTACAGCAGGTACTTTTTAATAAAGAGGTCGATCTCCTTTGGAAATTAAACTTCTTTGTAATAAAGGTCGGGATATTCATAACCCAGATTTTCCTCAAGCTAAGCTCAGTGCTTATGGTAGATGCGGATCAGTTCCCATATTTATATTACGATGCATTCAAATTCTGTGTCTATTTCGTCAATGACGTTCCATTATTACTGGGTAAGGCATTGCAAGATCTGTAATTAAGATTTGTGAGACAACTCAAAGGCCTCTCCTAAACTCACAGGCAGCGGATAGTCATAGTGTTCTTTGATTCTGCCGGTCATTTCCCATTTATGACTCGAGTTGCCGAAGACGTTGCGTGACGAAAAAGAAAATAAGGTTCCGCTGCCGTGATCATTGCATAATTTAGCTCAAAAAAACATTGCCCCTCGCCAAGATAGCATCCTTGCTAAGACGTTCGGTCCTAACTTTTAGTGATACAAAGGACACTTCTAATGATTTCTGAACGTGAGTATTATGTATGTACCCTTAATAGTGGCAGAGCGGGCTATCACGGACTACGGACTATGGACTACAAGGTCATCCTTCATGCATCTCTCTCTCTCCCATTCTCCAGCACTTGAGAAGGGTTGGCTTTGAATTGTCGGACGTCAATTTTGATTTCAGAGTAGGTCGTTCAACAATCAGTGCTATCGGCTCTTAGCTGCTGTTTGCGTTCGCAAACCGTGAGCAAATAGGTAGGGGGATAGCGCGATGTTCCAGATGCAGGTGGCAATGGGTGTTACAGAAATTGAGACAGTTAGTGGCAGGCTATTTAGAGACGCGTATCTATAAGAATTATTAAATAAATATACAAGTATTGAATTTAAAGTTCATCATAAAGTTATTGGTCTTTGATGACGTAATTGTAAATTATGACGTCACCTTTCTATAACATGTTGTATATAAGATTGAAGTCTAAATGTTATCTCGTATTCATTTCAAACGGGGTGGTACTATTGACTTACCTCGATTGCAACGACTACGATGGCTACCACCCCAATTGCCAGACCAAAGGAGGAGAAGAAATCTTGAACTATTTGGTTACATCCGCTGAAGGCATTTGTCGGTAGGCATGGTGGTGCCTCGCAGCAGCTATCAGGTAAAATGGGGCTCATATAGGACATATAGCCTCTTGGGCCGCAGCAACTGAACTGGAAATTAAAAAAATTCACGAAATGGTAACCAATGCATTAAAGACGGCATTTGTGATGAAGTAATCTAAAAAGATAAAAATATATTTCAACTAAATATATGCTTTACTGAAACAGTTTATTCATATAATGGTGATATTTCATGAGTAGAGTACCATATGCAATCAAATACTTGCACGTTCGAGCACTTCTGACTATACCTCACCTATAATTTAGCTGGATAGGATATACCAGTAATGTGATGACTTTGTCACTAAAATACTTTAAAAAACATCATTTTGGATATTTTAACTGACCGTTCTTTGAATTTCTTGGAAACTCTGGCGGTCCCTGGTAAAGGCATCGTTGAGCATGTCCGGTATCTGTTTCACAATATCGTCTAGCTTGACGAATATCAAGATTGCCAGTGTCAATTTGACGACCATCAGGATCAGCATGAAGACAGAGTACTGAAAGCACAAAATTAATGATAATATTATACTGTAGGTATACTATAGCACTAGTGGAAACACAACATTGATATTGTTAATGTAAATAGGCTTATTTATAGACTTGCAACGAATATTCGGTTACTATTCGGTATTCGGCCTATTCGGCTGCTTTTATTATATTCGGCCGAATACCGAATATCTACATATTATTCGGCCGAATACCGAATACTTAAATAATATATTTTGTCATTGAGAAATAATTGGTAAAATCAAAAATTAAAATCGATTGATTACGTATATATTCATATTTTCATTTCTGTTATAATCATTTAAGTAGTCATTGGTGCATAACACAGGTACATAATCATCTTCTGAATAGGAAAAATGGAGAAGGGTAAGGTTCTCATTTCTTTTATAATCATTTATTAAGTAGTCATTGGTACATAAAACAGGTACATAATTTAATTCACGTCTGTACAAGTTTTTGGCGCTAAAATCCAGCCGAATACTTTTGCCTAATATTCGGCTATTCGGTCAGGAGCCTTGCCGAATATTCGGTATTCGGTATACTGCCGAATATACTATTCGTTGCAAGTCTACTTATTTATGAATTCCAATATTTGCACTGAGTGGAAATGAAGTACAGGATCTATAATCTAATAAAACTTCAACGAGAGGATACAGTTTACACTTGTAACAGATAGTCTCTAATACTCACAGTAACAAGCATACAATTGCTTTCCCTTATGGCACCGCAGCATCCGAAGAATGCAATCAAGAACACAACGCCACCCACCACCATGGCAGTGATGGGGGCCACTTGGAAGTTTTCATTTGTTAGGTTCGTAATCGACGTGATTTGAAGTTCGACTGCAACACCCAGCCCCAATAGCGTTAGACCAGCTAGCTGAAATATTAAATATACAGTATTATTAATGAAATTGTAACCTCAGTTCATATTAAGTTCGGATATAAATTGACAAATATATCTAAAAATAACCATCCGTGTGGTGACGGATTGAGAATACAAAGTGTCACCACCCCTATTCATCCCGTGGGTGTCGTGAGAGAAGACTAAGGGAGCAAATTACGCAAGGCAACAGCACTGCAAAGTAGGAAAACTTGAAAGAAACCCTATACCAACCCGTCTGGCCAGCGTGGTATAGTAGACCAACACCTCCTTTCTAAGGAGATGCATATGTCTAGTAGTGGACTATCAAAGGCTGTTGATGATGATGATGATGATGATGATGATGATGATGATGATAATCTAACAATTGCAGGATGGTGGCGAGGTGCAGTCAAAATGTCTATAGTATAATATTGTAATGTATTTAGTATTAATGAAGGTGTGAAGACTACCACCGCCCATGGACACCTGCAAGCTCAAGACTGCATTACCGCACTTATGAGTCTTGAGCTTGCAGGTGCCTTTCCAGAGTCTCGTTTCAAAATCAGGTGGAGTATCAATAAATAAAACTATACTTGCAAAAAACAAAGGATAAATAATATGCAGCAAACTGACAGCTAACAATATAATAATAAATAAATTAATTTTGATAATTTAATTTAGATCAAAAAGATTGTGAAAGAGAACAGTCGCTGTAAATTCCGATATGAATGATAACCGGCCTAAAAGAGGAAAACAAATTAATCTATAGTTTATGATATGTCTGTGAAAATCAATGAGCAAGGCTATTCGATTCGTTGTATCTTTGAATTAGTTCAAAGATCCCGAAACCATTCAGACTTATGGCCTATTAAGTATTACACACTTTCTCAAAAAGTACAGCCATAATACCAGGTTGCCAGCGTTAAAACGAATTATAAAACTTAATGTCCATTTTTTAAATGAAACACTTGCTATTGTCTCTTGCCACAATAATAGCAAGTTGCAAGCTTGGGCCAATAGAATGTAGCTGGGTATGGGTACACCTAAATTCTATTGGAACGGTAAATCACAGTTTTTACTGTTAAAAGCTAAGCAGTTTACAAAGTAGAGAACTATTATCACAATTTTTTCTGTCATAAAATGCTGACATTGTATGTTAACACTAAAACAATAGACACAATCGTAGGAGGGACAATGAGGCCTCTGTCCAGCAGTGAACTATTAAAGCCTGTTGATAATGATGATAATTATTAGTAGGTATCCTAAAACAATTGACTCTCTGCAACTAAGTGAAGGGAAGTGGATTTACTGTATTTCCAACTCCTCCAATTTTCTTCAAATTAATTTCGTTGCGGGTTCCAAGACAGTTTAATTTCTTCCTGGGACTTCCCGAGTGTCATAACTAAGATGGGGGTTCGTGGGTCACTGCTGTGGATCCTGGTGTACAGGAGTTACAGTGGTGGGCGTGTGGGTGGGATTAGGCCCATTCTGTGCAACTAATGCAATGCGTCGAATATTATTTTACTCTTATCTTTAAAAGGTATATGAGGGTAAATGTTCGCGGCTTCGTTCACATAAAAGTTTTGTCTATCCTTGTTTAGAACTGTATGTTATTTTTGTATGCAAGTCCTAGGTCATCCGCTTATATACTCTTAGGAACACGTGTATGTAAAATTTCATTATAATTGGTTAGGTAATTTAGAGATGGAAGCGAAACAAATAAACAATGAGTAATGATGAAATACGTAAGTATTTAATTTTATTGCGGGTTTCAAGACGGTGCAGCGGTGTGTTCGTGGGTCACTGCTGTAGATCCTGGTGTACAGGAGTTATAGTGGTGATTGAAGTTGATTTTCTTCTGTCGTTTTAAGTAAACAATTTTCATAAATGGCAATAGGCATTACCACACAATCTAATATACCTATTTTAGTTTAGTATATTCTAATAAGTATTACTATATCGAGTGTAATTCGGTGGAAATTACCATTGTATCAATAAAATGCTGTAAACAGGACAAATTCTTTTATGACTTACATCCTGTAAATTAGTAACTGATAGTTCAAATTGCATTTATTTTAAGCAAGTTAACGTTTTTTTTTGGGACAACGACCGGCTCACCTGATGACAAGTGACTACCGCTACCCAGAAACACATGCAACTCAAAAGACAAGTGCGTGTCCCCACTTTGAGTGAAGAGTAAGGGAGCAGGAGCTTGGGCCTCGGGTAAACGCAAAGAAAGAATGGCTCACATCAGAGAACGAAAACTTGAAACAAACCCATCTGGCCAGCGTGGTATAGTAGGTCAAAACCTATTTTCTAAGGAGACGCCTACGTCCAGCACTGGCCTAGTAAAGGCTGTTGCTGATGATGATGACTATGTGTTAATCCACTCGGTAACTACTTAGGCACGAGCCATAATATAATAGATTAAAATAATGACGATTAAGAATACGGAATGTCACTACCCCAATTCATTCCGTGGGTGTCGTAAGAGCCGACTAAGGGCGCAAAACAACGCAGGACACCAGCACTGCAAATAGAACGAAAACTTGACACAAACCCTATACCAACCCGTCTGGCCAGCGTGGTATAGTAGCCTAAAACCTCCTTTCTAAGGAGAGGCCCATGTCCAGCAGTGGACTATTAAAGGCCGTTGATGATGATTGACTGAGGTAGGCGAGGAAATTGAGGAGTAAGCAGTGATTAAAAAAACAGGCAAAACTGCGGTGAAAGGCTAGAAATTCATATAATCACAGATTAAGAGTAATAACGCTTGAAAATAAGCTATGTTGCTGGATATTTTTTTGTGTCCTATCTGTTATCACATGGTTGTGTACAATAAATAATTTTATATCAGTAACGGCCACTTATCTCGGCCCTATGGCGAGCGCGGTGCTATCTTATCACTGATAACAGTTGTTTTGAGGTGCGCTTGTGAGGGTGTGACCTTAAAACTATGAATCGAACGCTGCATGTGTAATTTTTAGAGAATACTGGAAACGCGGGTCACATTAACACCGTGATACTGCGAGGACTTGTTTGAAATTTGTGAAATTATTTATGCAACGGTAGGTGTGTGTGTAAAACATAGTCTCAGATAAAAAAGTCGACGGTTATTTCACGCATACGTCATTGGCGGGTGAACGAGAAGACGAATCACCTGAGTGCCTAGTGCTAGTTTATTTCACATCAACTGCTATCGACAGGGCCGCGTCCGGCGTTGCGATTGGTGCAGATTTCAGGGCGGGCCAATCGCAGCGCCGAACGCGATCACCGTGACGATGGAGTAGATGTGAAATAAACTCGCACTCGGCCCTCTGATTGTAAATGTCTACCGCCATCCGTAGACATCTGCAATTCAAAATTCAGAAGTGCTTTGCCGCTCTTTCAGTCCCTTTTCCCAGAATGAGGGGGAGGGGGTTTTCGGTAATCTTAAGTACTCGGTGAAAAGCAATGAACTGCTTAACACCGGTTTTCTGTCAGGTTGTGGTATGACTCCGTTGTCAAGAAGTTTTGGCTAATACATTTTGAGAAAATGCCTGGATCGCCTTACAATTGTGAAACACATCAACATTTCTTGATTTGATATATATTTAAAAATCTTCCTTTTTAATTTTAAAGCATTCTTTGACTTTTTATTGTAATTAAAAGCGGTGTTTAGGTGTCAATACATGGTAAATGAATAATGAAAAACAAATAGGTACAACTGTTTTGTTTTTGCGCATAAAATCGATACTTTTTTTATAAACCATATCGTTTAAATTACCAGCTTAATCAATAATTTTTAGTTAAATTTTATCATTACTAAATTAAGTTCAAACATCAAATGCCACAAAACTCATACTATTTGAAAGATATCATAGTTTACAAGCGGAAAAGACATCACAATACACCTAATGACAAATAGACGTATCTTTCTTATCAAGTTTCAAGGAATTATGATTTATCGACAGATACTGCGTCTAAGTACATGCGTTCTTTTAGTCACTAGCACTACGCTTTTGAAATAACTAATACCTAATAATTTTACAAAGATATCTTTAATGTTTAAAGTAGTGTTACTGTTGAAAAGATAAATAGAATATTAATTTATAGTGTATATTTTAATTTCTTACACACCTGGCATTACTCACTCGGACCTACTCTACGTGTTGTCGACTCGTATCAAATATTTTAGCCTTCACTCTACACATATAGTAAAAGATACATTTCACTCACCGCAAACACCAAATTGGCGAAGAACAAAATATATTTGACGAGAAATTCACCGCACCCCATTGTGTGGTTATTTTTTTACAAATGGCGGGTATTCTTTCGCGCGTAAGCGTTCAATGTGGTTCGAGTATAGAACAAGACTGTTTTAAATGTCCGTAAAACGAAAAACTTATCAGAGAGATAACGATAACCAACAAATTGGATTTCTGCAATGGCGAATGTAATATTTTTATTCCTGTCGATGATACAAATATTATTTTCATGAACTATTTGGCAGCTTGTCTATGGCTATACATATATAAATACTTTCCGTGTAAGGAGGTTTTTTGAAGATAAAAGATAATACCGTTCTTCGTGTATATTATTGTACTTTGAAAGATGGAACACGAGATTAATCATGATTTGAATTATTTTTCAAGAAAGTTTGTTTCTATAACACTCAAGTTTTTTACGATTAAAAAGAATTGCATCTCATAAAGACCTTGTTTAGTAAGAGTAGCTATCCTTAAATTAAGTTTTAAATTATTTAATCAACTAAATCCAACTCGATAATACTTACAGGCGGTTGACATGTGTTATATTTAACACAATCTCTTGCCACGTTCTTGGCTATAAAGACAGTTAAGATTCTCATGGTTGGCAGTCAGTTTGGCAAGTTAATAAACTGAGTGATAACTTTTATGCATGCAGTCGTATACCAACATTGTCTTGATCTATGTGTCTTTGCGGTCATGTGAACTTAGCTTTATTCATAAGAGAACTTTTGTGCTACTGTCTTTTACAACTTCAGTCTATTTGTTCTTCTTCCATAATTCTAATTAATTGTGTACAAAGGTTTGCATTTCATTTCCCCCATTTCCTTATTTGTCACCAATGACGTGTCACTAAAACTAAAATTAAATGAGTGTGCAGGGCATTCCACTTACTATTTCCAAATATCATTATTACTAGTAGTACGTCACAACTGTGAGTCAGTACATACCTTAGTGATAAATTATTATCAGTCGTGAATGTTTAAATAATTATTTGTGGTATTGTTTTATGTAACCAGCTACTGCCTATGTAATGGTCAGGATTCACATGTTGTAGAACTTCCTATTGCCTCAGTGAATAAAGGGATCGAACTCTTATTCGACTTTAAAAAGGAGGACCGTATCAATTCGTTTTGTCATCATCATCATCAACAGCCTATACTAGTCCACTGCTGGACATAGGCCTCTCCTTAGAAAGGAGATTTTGGCCTACTATACCACGCTGGCCAGACGGGTTGGTATAGTAGGCCAATTCGTTTTGTGTATGTTAATATTAACCGATCTCCTTTTTTTTTTTAAATTGCATTGGTTGGTCTCCCGCTTATAGTTGATAAAAATATTGCACCTACAGAACCTTTTTCTGTGATTCCACCTCTAAGGGTGGAAAATTAAAGAGATTAACAATACAGGTTATTTTTGAAGTGTAAACTTTTTTAGGCACACAACAATAAACAAAAGAATGTATTTTTTGAGATGAGAAAAAACCATTGAGCTCGTGACCGTTACCGACACCTCTGTATCTACATATATTGATAATATAACTATATATATAATTTCAACATATATTGAGTATATACGTACAGCATAGATATATATTCACGTCGGCACATTTCGAATAGAAAAAAAACAAATATTTTTCCTGTTATAATCAAAAAAAGTTTATCAAGTTTTCACTTCTGTCGGCACTCCCGGAGTGCAACTGTTTTTTTTAATTATTTTATTAATTATAATATAAGTATATGGGTATAATATAGTATAATATAACCGGGTACTAAGAGAAAAATTTAAGTATTACATATGGAAGTATTACATCCATATGTAATACTTAAATTTTTCTCTTAGTACCCGGTTTTAATGCCAAAAGTACCCGGTTGGCGGTAGAAAGCTTACCTAGTGTATTATAGGTGTTTGGTTAAATGTCGGTGTTGTAAATCCTTCTGCCTATCCCTACCGGCGTAGATATACAGACTTGGACCCACATACATATCTTCTCTCTGCCTGTGTATGTGACAGAACCCCTCCTAAACGTCTAGACCGATTTTGACGAATTTTTTTGTGTGTGTTCAAGTGGATTCGAGAATGGTTTAGGTTTTGGCGCTGCTACTGCCCAACATGAAGGGACCCGATGACTCCTGCAGGAGACTCGGGGGTTGTGCGGTCCATGGCCCTTTATGGGGCCCCAGTATAGGCGGGGCCTTGAAGGCCAGCAACGTCGCACTACTGCGACGACCGCAGCGAGTGCTGGTCATCAGGATCATAAGGGGGTACCGCACGATCTCTTTTGAGGCGGCGAGTCTCCTGGCCGGAACTCCACCGGAGGCGGGGGCCCTTGCGGCTCTGTATCAGCGGCGCAAGGAGGCGCGGGAGTTGAGTTGGAGTCCTGAGACTCGAGAAATCGATGACCAGAAATCCCAGCTCCGCCGGGTCCTCGTAGGGGAAGGAACGACTTGGGCAACCGAGCGCCGGGCACGCCGTCATCGCGGTGGTAAGACCCGTTATGGAGGATTGGCTCGAAAGGCATCAGGGACCCTCTCATACCGACTGACGCAGGTGATCACTGGGAAAGGATGTTTCGGGGATCACCTGTGTCTGATCCGCAAAGAGCCAACGCCTGAGTGCCCCCATCACTGCGATGGTCGGACCGTGGACACGGCGCTCCATATGCTGGCAGAATGCCCGGCGTGGGTGGAGCAGAGGCGAGACCTCATGGCGGCCGTCGGAGTGGGAGTTCCCTCGCTCGATAACCTGATTGCTGCTATCGTTCGGAGCGAGAGTGCGTGGAACTCTGCCGTCTCCTTCTGCGAGCAAGTTATGCTTGCGAAGGAGATGGCGGAGCAGGACTGGGAGAGGTTTAGAACTCTCCCGGCCCGCCAGGCTCGGGAACGGGCCAGGTACCGCAGACGACTCAGGCGCCGGAGGTCGCATAACGACCTACGTCCTCTATAAGCGCAGGCCTTGGAGTGACAAGTGAGTGATACCTATGAAATGAATGACTGTCCGTGTCGTGTAAGAACCCAGGCGTGTCGCTGCGCTGTCTCTGTTGCCTAGGATACCACCCACCGGTGGTTATGTCTGACTCGAACCGACCAAAAACCGCACTCCGTCTCGGGTCCCAGTAGACGGGGAACCAAGTGTACAGAAAGGAAATCCCTGGTACCCCGACGGATCCCGAGCCATCTACAGCTTGTAGATGACCCCTCGTGTGTGGGAACCACGGTATTCCCGTTCTGCAATCTAAAGGGCGCGCGCGCTCCACAGCGCGTCCCACCACCAAGCCGGTCTGCTTCTGCTAGGGTAACAGGTGGCGTCACCTGTCACCCCCAGGCCTGCGCTTATGGAGGACGGAGGTCGTTCTGAGTCCTCTGCGGTACCTGTGGACAAGGAGGAAACAGTGCCACCGCCAGCGTTTCCAGGGTGCACCACGGGATGGTTTTCTAGCCTAGCACCCCCTCGTCTGCCCCCTTTTTTTTTTTTTTTTTTTTTACGTGTGGAAATCCCCTCGGACCGTCACCCCGCCGGGGCTCTCGTTCGGCGGGGCGGTGTGTCGGACTCGAACCGACTAAAACCACACGGTGTGCCCTCTTTGCGCTTCCAGTTTAGGAGGGGTCCAGGTAGCTATCTCCTTCTGGACCCCTCCCAGCGCCGGCCCGCTCCTGGCGCGGGCTCCGTCTCAGTGGACCCTCTCTTTAGACGGCGTCCGGCACACGCGGACGCCGCCCCCTCGCGGCTGGCCAACTAATGCGGGTGGAGGGGAGAACCCATCCCGTCCACCCGCGGCCACACTCAGGGCGGCATGAGGCGCAGGTAGGCGCGCCTCCGCCGCCCGGTTCGCTGGCGGCGGATCAGGTCCGAGTGGAGATTACCTCCTCGCAGAAGGTTGCGACCGCGGTAAAACAACCGTCGCTACCGGCCATGGAGCGAATTACGGCCGGTAGCGAGAGATCTGCTCCGATGACTGCAGTGAGGGCCCGGCGCTGCGTCGCCCATGCGGGGCAAACCGCCAGCGTGTGCTGGGCCGAATCCTCACCGCAGTCGCAGTGGTGGCAGGCGGGACTCGATTCCCTCCTAGCGACCGAGTACAGGTACTTTCCGAAGCAACCGTGCCCGGAAAGCACCTGCGTCAGCCGGAAGGAAAGGGTCCCGTGCTGCCGCCCTGCCCACTCGGCGATGACCGGCTGGAGAGCCTCCACGGCGGCGAAGCCAGCGCGTGGAGTCTCCAGCCGGAACGACCATCTCACCATGGTGGCTCGGCGAGCGGCTTCGCGCCACTCGCGCACGTCTTCGGGCGGAGGGCGAAATCCGCTCTCCGCCCGGAAGTCAGCCACTCGCCGATAAACTTCGGCGAGCACTTCCGCCTCCAAATCCCACGGGGGTGTTCCGGCCAAGGCGCAAGCCGCCTCGGTGGACACCGTGCGGTATCCGCGTATGGCTCTGACCGCCAATATCCTCTGGGGGCGCCAGAGGCGCGCCCTATTCGGGGCGGTCAGAGCCGCCACCCACACCGGTGCACCATAAAGCGCCATGGACCGGACAACCCCCGCGTACAGCCGCCTCGTGGGAACACTGGCCCCGCCCAAATTGGGCAAAAGTCGCCCTAGGGCGGAGGCAGTGTCCACCAGCTTCGGACCAAGCGTTCGGAAGTGCTCGTCGAAGAGCCACCTACCGTCTAGGACCAGACCCAGGTACCTCATCTGGGCCCGGACCGGTACGAGGACCGAGCCGACCTCGATTGAGGCGCCGGCGGGTGGACCACGACGGGGCCCATGAAATAATAGGGCCTCCGTCTTATCCAGGGCCACCCGCAAACCCAACGCCTCAATGCGCCCGACCACCAGGGAGACTCCCGTGGCGGCCAGGCGCGCCGCCTCCTGGAAGTTAGCCCCCCGGGCCGTGAGCAAGGTGTCATCCGCGTAGCAGATTACACCCAGCCCGGGGGGGAGACGCCCTCGTAGGGCCCAGTCGTACCCGATGTTCCACAGGAGAGGTCCTAGGACAGACCCCTGCGGAACACCGCACGACATGGCCCTGCGTCTCAAGACGCCATCTCGGTCCTCGTACATGACGGTTCGCTCCTCAAGATAGTCTGCCACCAGCCGCCTCAGGTACTCCGGCACTCCGTGGTAGCGGAGCGCTTCCCTGATGCAGCTGAATGGCAGACTATTGAAGGCGTTGGAGATGTCCAAGGACACCGCCAACACCACTCCGCCGCAGCTCACGGCCTCCTCGGTCACGGCCCTAAGGCGCATTACGGCATCGATCGTCGAACGCCCCTCTCGGAAACCGAATTGGGCGTCCGACAGATCGGGGCCAACCTCGCAAAGGTGCCGGACGATGCGGGCAGAGAGCACCCTCTCAAAAAGTTTGCCCGCCTCGTCCAGCAACACGATAGGCCTATAGGCCGCGACCGAATCGGCAGGCCGTCCCGGCTTCTGCAGCAGGACCAGCTTCCCGCATTTCCAGCGCTCAGGGAAGCGTCCGGACGCCAGGCTAGCGTCCAACACCCCCCTGAGGTGGTCCGACATGTAGTCGAGGGCTCGGGCCATCACTCGGGCTGGAACCCCGTCCGGCCCGGGGGCGGTGTTCTTGGATCGAATCCGTAGAACAGCCGCCCCCAACTCCGATTCCCTGACGGGCGGAACATCGACCTCGCTGCCCCCGTCGTCTCCGGCTGATGCAGCCATCGACGGGGGTGTGTGCTCCGCCCGCTGCGGGAATAGGCCCTCGACCACTTCCTGCAGGAAGCTGGGCTGGAGAGTCTCCGTAAAGGGGGGGCCCGACGTGCGGAGCTTTTGACGCACCGCACGATAAGGGCGACCCCAGGGGTCACGCTCGAGACTCTCCAGCATCTCCTCTCTACACGCATCCTTGGCGCGGCAGATGGCCAGCCTCAGAGTTTTCCGAGCTTCTCGGTACTCCTCATGAAGCCGGTCCACCTCCTCACCGACCCCGCGGTGACGTCGCCGACTACGGGTGAGGGACCTCCGGGCACGTACACAGGCCGCACGGAGGTCCGCCAACTCCTGGGACCACCAGTAGACCTCCTTCCTTGGAGGCCGACAACCACGAACGCGGGGCATGGCCGCATCGCAAATCTGCGTAATCGCATTGCAGAAGCGACCAGCCCCCATGTCGACCTCCTCGGGACCTGCGGAGACAGCCAAGAGTAAATAATGGCCGCCTCCTCTAGTAGGTCCCTGTCGAGCTTGGCGATAGCCCACCGCGGGAAGCGGGAAGGGCGCCGCGACGCGTGACCCCTACTGGGGTCCTGGGACCGGGAGAGCTCGAATCGGATGTACAAATGATCCGAGAGCGTCTCGACCTCTTCCAGGACACACCAGTTCCTTACTCGTGCGGCGACTGCAGGGGTAGCGAACGAAAGGTCCACTATCGACCCCCCCTGCTGCCGCACGCACGTGTTGGTGGAGCCTCTGTTCAGCAAACAGAGGCCCACCGACGCCGCCCACTCCTCGACGGCTTCGCCCCTGGCGTCCGTCGCAGGGGAACCCCACGCAATGGACTTTGCGTTGAAGTCCCCCAGCACGAGGACGTGCCCAGACACTAGTCGCCGCATCGAGGCCTCCAAGTTGTTAAGGAAGACCTCGAAGTCGTTCAAGCTCCGGTTGGGGGAGAAATATACACCATAAATGGTGATTCCCCCCCAATCGGCGGCAACATATCCAGTACCCTTGTCTCTTAGCGACAAGGGCGGGAAATGAGCCGCCGTGGAGCGACATGAGCAGGGGTCGCGTCGACGAGGGATGATCCTACGAGCCCCAAGGTTTTCTTTTCCATTCTCCTCTATCACTCTCCAGCTCACTGCTTACTCTCTTTCTAGCCATATCTTTCAAGAAGTACATCCATCTTGTTTTGGTCATGCTCTACTCCACTGTTTTAACTTAGATCCTATGGTGGGACATTTTGAAACTCGAATGTTGTTCGTGTAGTACTCGTGTAGTATATTATAATGCATAGGAATCTCGTTTGTTAAATAAGTAGGTGACGAGTAATCGCACTTCGACACAAACTAGACGAAGTGCAATTATACCCGTCAGTGCAAAACGCAATTTACGCGCCCCGGCCTATTACATGTAATGTAATGGTGGATTTAGAACTCTCCCGGTTCGCCAGGCCCGGCAACGGTCAGGTACCGCAGAGGACTCAGAACGACCTCCGTCCTCCATAAGCGCAGGCCTGGAAGTGACAGGTGAGGCCATCTGTCACCCTAGCATAAGAAGGCCAGGTTGGCGGTGCGACGCACTGAGGAGCGCGCGCGCCCTTTAGATTGCAGAACGGGAACGCCGTGGTTCCCACACACGAGAGGGTCATCTACAAGCTGTAGATGGCCCGGGGTCCGTCGGGGTACCAGGGATTTCCTTCCTGTACACCTGGTTCCTCGTCTACTGGGACCCGAGACGTAGTGCGATTTTTGGTCGGTTCGAGTCAGACATAACCACCGGTGGGTGGTATCCTAGGCAACAGAGACAGCGCAGCGACACGCCCAGGTTCTAGCGTTGTTACGCACACGGACAGTCATTCATTTCATAGGTATATTATTTATCATGTACTCACCTTATTGCGTCTGCAAAGAAGTCATCCAAGACGGATCCGTGTGGTGACGGATTAAGAATACAGAGTGTCACCACCCCTATTCATCCCGTGGGTGTCGTAAGAGCCGACTAAGGGAGAAAACTACGTAGGACAACAGCATTGCAGAGAGAAAGAAAACTTGACACAAACCCTCTACCAACCCGTCTGGCCAGCGTAGTATAGTAGGTCAAAACCTCCTTTCCAAGGAGAGCCTTATGTACAGCAGTAAACTATTAAAGGCTGTTGAGGTGAAGTAATGATTGCCCTCACTTTTCTGCATTTACTAAATTTTACTAAACTCTGCTGCTGCTGCAGCCTGGAAAGGTGTAAGTACTTCGATCATATAAATAGGTTATTTGGTCGAAGTATACCTAAGTGTAGTACTTACCTTGTACCTAGAATGGATACATGCATTGCATTAAGGTTCTGCCGGCAGTCAGAAACAATAGCTATTCGGAATGCGTAATGGCGAACTGGCAAGGCGACTACTAAAAACTTACAATTAAGAAATTACATTTCATCTCTTCGGTAGTCAACTTAACATTGTTATGGTTAACTACCACTACTTTGCGCTTTTCGAGACTTTTTGTCCCTCACAACTAATCTGTGGAACGGTTTATCTTCTGCGGTATTTCCGGACCGATACGACCTTCAAACCTTCAAGAAAAGAGCCATACTCCTTCCTAAATGGCCGGCAACGTGTTTGTGACTCCTGAGTTGCAGACGTTCATGGGCGGCGATAGTCACTTTCCATCAGGTGACCCGTCTGCTCGTCTGCCCCCTAAGACAACCCCTTAGTAAGAATATATCCCGTGTCGCGGGGGACTTTAAAAACACATATGTGACGGACATAAGAACACCCAGAATCAGAACAAAATTTTGTAGATCACACAAAGTGTTGTCCCATGTGGGGATCGAACCCACAACACTTAGCGCGGTAGGAAGCGGTGAGGAGACCGCTTAAACCACTAATACATCCGTGCAGTGACTTATCAAACGACTAGCTATTCCTTGCACTTTCATTTGTAATATAATAATATATTTCACACACTCACACACGGCCGTCTGATCCCAAACTAGGCAGAGCCTGTACTATGGTAACCAGACCGCTGATAAACATACTTATATATTTCTAAATACATACATATTATAGATAAATTACACCCAAACACAGAACAAATGACCGTGCTCATCACACAATATTTGTCCTGGGTGGGAATCGAACCCACGACCTCCTGTTTAGCAGTCAGGGTCACTAACCACTAGACCAACAGGCCCGTCATTTATGGTCATTGAGTTGTTCCTAAGGGTCGTAAAGAAGCTTTTTATTAAACCGTTTCTTGCTAATTCATGTATGGTCACCGTTCTGCGGGTCGTAGAGAGATGTTAAGTGGCATATAACCTTCATCAATAATTGGGCTTCCGCTATATACATATAAAAATGTTAAGTTGGTTTGTGTACGCTTTAGAAACTCAAAAAGTTCTGCATCGATTAGCACGATTTACAACAAGGTTCGAAGATTGTTTTTTTATTACATATAAGATTGATTGTGTTTATTCTCGATTTCACATCGACATCAACATCAACAACCTTTACTAGTCCACTGCTGGACATAGGCCTCTCCTTAGAATGGAGGGTTTGCCACTACTATACCACGCTGGCCAGACGGGTTGGTATAGAGTTTGTGTCAAGTTTTCCTTCTTTTTGCAGTGTGGTGTCCTGCGTTGTTTTGCGCCCTTGGTCGGCTCTTACGACACGACGGGATGAATTGGGGTAGTGACATCCCGTATTTTTAATCCGTCACTTATCATCACCTAGTGGAATATATATTTTTAAATAAAACTCGTTAATAGGGGATAAAAATATTTAGATATATCATCATCTAGAGGCAAGGCATAAAATATATTTAATAAGGACCATACATATTTACAAGATCTTTAAAATTGAACTTCATGGTCAGTCCGAAGTCGTCTTGGCTTCTCTGAGAATTTCTACACTTAATAAAGTTGTTGTATCCGTGGCAAAGACGTTCTAGGAATACTGCATTTTAAACTGTTTCTTGCGTACACTGAATGCCAGGTAACTGCTGACTACTGTTTGAAATAACTGAAAGATAAATGGTTTATTATAATTATTATACAAAAATTAAGGAAAGGAAAAAATCGACGAAAAAATTCGTTTACTTTTGTGAGTAGTATCTATATTTACTCAAGTGGTTGACGTTACGTGAATATGCAAAGAGTAACAGTCTTTATTTGGAACCTTGACAGGCAAAACATAGTTATAAAGTAATATTAACATTTACTAAAAACAATTAATATCACCTACCAGTGCCGACCAGTGGTCTAATATCCAATCACTGGACGAACATAGTTACACAACCCGGCCTCGGTTTTATGTTATGATAGGCATAGTGGGCAAATGAACAGGGCCTCAATTCTGCTATTTTATGTTCACGCCAAGCCACTGTCATACCACTGACATTCTAAAAATAAATAAATCATATCCTTAAAATTTGAAAATAAATTACGTTTTTTTGAGGAAATGATTTATTTATTTTTCCAAATATGGCAATCTTTTTGATATCACCACTGATGAGCCACTGCCATTCCATCGCCACTGTAAAGACACTGAGTTAGTGTAGACTACGGATATTATACCGATGCCAATGGCCACTCGATGGCATCTCAATAGCGTGCCAGTGGTATGACAGTGGTTTGGCGTGAACTTAAAATAGCAGAATTGAGGCCCAGACGGGTCACCTCATGATAAGTATCCATGGGTAAGTATCCATGGGTAAGTATCCATGGGTCGGTATCCATGGTAAGTATCCATTATAAGTATCAATGGGTAAGTATCCATGGTAAGAATCCATGACTTACAACTCAAGAGACACAAGCGGTGCGGTACTTCCATTGCTCCCCCCCAGGATTAGGGGGATTGATTTGCACCTCTAACCTAACTATTACAGAATTTACGCTTTTTTTGTAAGGTCGTTATTTTTATTTTTTGTTATTTAAAAAGGCAACTCCCGCATTAGCAATAGGTATCGAAGTATGACTCCCACACCCTAATGTAAATATATAAATATTTCAATTATTCTTAATACTATGTTGTTGTTTGTTAATTCTTCCCCCCCCCCCCTACCACTCCCCCTTAAATCTTGCACCACCCTAAGATATAATGACAATTTTGAATTAGGTCCGCCATTGTACAATTTAATTTGTGCGTTAAGTATCAAATATATTATTTATACTACATGATAGTGACATATGGTTACCAACCTGAGTAACCGCAAGACCGATGACTGTGCCTGCAAATATCCAACGGATATTCATGACGTCAGTTTGGGTTTTCTCAACGCACCCTGGAAAGGTGACTTTGTCGAAAGTACAAGGAGGTGTTGCACAACAGCTGTTGGAGAGACCCAGACCCTTGGACTGATAAGATATCGCGCCGTGCGTCCCACAGCACAGGTACTGGAACGAAAAAATAAGGATCATATTCTTTACATCACATAAGTGTCTATTGGCGTACCCTGGGGAGTGGAAGATGGCTGGCTAAAGAAGTTTTATTTGAAAACATACATTTATTCATAATTATCGTTTATATCTCATAATACCATACATTGCGACAGACTATGTGTAGCCACACCTTACACCTCGTATGTTGACGAGTGGTTCGTTAAAGCAAAACAGGCAACTGGACTCCTGCTCATGAAGATTTTGTTTTAGAGCTCCTGTTTCAGTCTTCTGGACTACAAATAAAGAAAGACCTGCCTCTTTTTATTAGCTCGATACGTATACATCATGTATTTGTGTGTTAAGCTTACATTTTTATAAAACGCCTACCAAATGCGCAAGGCAACAATTTGTAAACACACGTATTAGCTTAATCAGGGGTAGCCATTACTTGTTTGTATGTTATTATGTCCGTCTACAATATTAGCCCACTAGTAACCTTAGTAACTCGGTAAAGTGCAACGAAAGAATTGTTAAACACCTGTTTTCTGTGGGTTAGGCCCGCCCAGTGGCTCGACTCGACCGAAGTGGTACCTGCATGGTTCTCCCACAATTAAGAACTGATAAAATACTACGTGACGGATTAAGAATACAGTGTGTCACCACCCCTATTCATTACGTGGGTGTCGTAAGAGGCGACTAAGGGAGCAAACTACGCAGGTCAACAGCACTGCAGAGAGAAGGAAAACTTGAAACAAAACCTATACCAACCCGCCTGGTCAGCGTGGTATAGTAGGCCAAAAACCTCCTTTCTAAGGAGAGGCCTATGTGCAGCAGTGGACTATTAAAGGCTGTTGATGATGAAATTGTGTGTACGTTTAGATCCTGTCAGTTAACATGCAATCTTATTCCATCAAACAAACTTCTAGAACGGTCTGATCTGTAATAATAATTTGTGACATGTTACAGCCTTCATCATCAACAGCCTTTAATAGTCCACTGCTGGACATAAGCCTCTTCTTAGAGAGGAGGTTTTGGCCTACTATACCACGCTGGCCAGACGGGTTGGTATAGGGTTTGTGTCAAGTTTTCCTTCTCTCTGCAGTGCTGTTGTACTGCGTAGTTTTTTCCCTGAGTCGGCTCTTACGACACCCGAGGGATGAATAGGGGTGGTGACACTCTGTATTCTTAATTCGTCTTATTCTTAATCCGTCACCACACGGACAACCTTATCTGCAACCAATCTAAGTAAAGCTTGTGGTGTGGTTTTTTCATAGAACACGAATAAAAACTCGTAAAACATGGTCGTTATGAATTATTCAAAGAATACGAACAGCAGAATCTGTATGTGTACGAGTATAAGATGATAATATAATATTACAGTATAAATTGCTACGTACCAGTACTTCGAATTGAGAAAACATGTCCACGTCTTTGTGGAACTGGGTAGTGATGTTTAGAGTCAGGAGATTCAATAGGTAGTCAATCTTAAGTAAAATGGTTACTGCCAACAATATCGAGCCAGCCATCAGGATTGCCATGAATACAGAATACTGTAAATGAAAAAAAAAACTTTAAATTTCCTCATGCTCGCCGTTGAAAACCAGAGCGCTGTCTCGCCAAGCAGGTGACAAGGCTGTTTCTGGGCGGATGTTGCTAGCACTGGCGGCAAGGCGGTTATTAAAAATGCAATAAAGTAGATTTAAGATAGTTTTGGATTTAAGATCACTTTTTTTCACCAGATTTTTTTTTGTTTGTTCGTAAATTAATATTTTCTTTTTCTTTATTTAAATACACACTAGAGAATGTACATAAACATTTCTTAAAGCGATCGTTGAATAAAGCCAACCAGGCAGCTCCTGTAATACTAACCGTTACGTTCAAAGCTTCACATGATTTGCCTGATATTTTGTTATTTGCCCAAACCATATCAGGGTGACAAAGTAATCTATACAAATAAATAAAATTGGAGTGTCTGTTTGTAATATTAAAATAACCGCTTTTTACTAAATGCATATGTATGTGTGTGTACATTGTACATATGCCAAAATATCATTTTTTACAATTTTTGTCTGTCTGTCTGTTTGTTTGTTCGGGTAATCTCTGGAACGGCTGGACTGATTTCGACGGGACTTTCACTGGCAGATAGCTGATGACATAAGGAGTAACTTAGGCTACTTTTCTTAGACTAGCTTCGCCCCGCGGCGTTGCCCGCGGTTATAACAACAAACGCGGGTAACACCGCGGGTCTCAGCTAGTATAACATATACTGATTAGACATTAAATAATATTTGTAGGTAGGCGCTGTACTTGCCACACTATGCTAAACAAACTTTTTTGAATTCGATTTTAAAATAACCAAAACCAAATTCTAAAAAGGGGATTATAAAAAAAGGTATTTTTATTATTTTCCTGTAAAGAACTATTCAGACGAATCGATATTTTGGTTTTCTGTTGAATACCGCACAATACAACATTTTCTACTTACTATATCACATACTTATTGCAACACTAAAAACTAAAACTGTTCTGTGCTAAAATTTAATTTTTATGACTTTATACTCACGAAGATAAGCATGACAGCATGTTCCATGAGCCCGCCGCAGCAGCCAACGATCGAGATGATTATAATAACACTGCCCACCACCATCATGTAAGGTGGAACGTGTTCGATGCTTAAGTTTGTCAACCCGACATCCATGTATCCAAGTTGAGTGAGAATCCCGCATATTAACGGCGCCATACCTGTCAACTAAATTTTAAAATGACATTTAGTTCCTTAACTAAGTCATTTTTATCATCATCACTATCCTATATTGGCAAAATGCAAAGGTTTTTCGCATTTTTTATGGCTAGTCGCCTGCCTGGCGCCCTGCTTAGGAACAGGAGAAAATACAGGAGGAAGAAAGCCAGTGTTAGTAAAACGAGACAGGTGAGGCTATCTGTCACCATAATAGAAGCAGGTGGGATGGCGGAGCGAGCGTGCAATTTAAACCTGGTTCGGTTTTTAGTCGGTTTCAGTCCGACATAAGTATCCCACCGGTGGGAGTCTTCTAGAGGATTTCCGCAGGGAAAAAAATCAAGGATAGGTCGATGGACCTAGGGTAAGAGATATCGTATCTCTTACCCTATCGAATCCTTCTGAGAGTACAACCGTGTACAAAGTGGACAAAGACGAGAGCTTCAGCATTCAGGACAATGGCCTATTTGCCACTAAACAGTGGTAATATCTCGGGGTATCTTTTTTTACAGCTTTTTTACATGGCAAGCCGGGGCGGGGCGGTGTGTCGGAATCGAACCGCCCACTGCGTCTGAAACAGGTACAGGTAATACAATTACGGTAGAGGATTACGGAGTTTGTTTGCCTTTTCATCTCAAAAGGCTCAACCACTTGCAAACGGGCGTTTCTAGTTTTTTTTAATGGTATAAATGAGCAGACGGGTCACCCGATTGTAAGCAACTACCGCCGCCCATGGACACCTGCAACTCAAAACTCACAAGAGTCCCTCTCGCTCGAGTCAGCGGGAGGGGGGATTTGGGCTCCGGTAACCTCCCTCACTCAGTGAAAGGCAACGAAAGAATTGCTTAACAACGGTTTTCTGTGAGGCCGTGGTATCACTCCGGCATGGCTCTCCCACGGCACGCATGGATCGACACAGACATAAAAATAATTTTCTATAGTTATTCTAGGTATACATTTATGTTGCTAAATATTTGACAAACAAATTGTTGTCATTGTCTGTGTTTATATATGACTTTAGAGACGATTTCAAGTAACTAATTTTAGATATTTTGACATTGACTTTAATAATTTCGATGTTACAATAGATGGCGATTTAATGTAGAATTTTATTATACATATAATTATATCTAATGTAATTCCAATGACGAATCATCTAATACAATAGAGATGCCTACAGGAAAGTAAATAATTATAAACATGACAATCATTATTTATAATCAGTAGTGGGTATTTATAGATACTTATTGGATAATAACTGGTATATGTAATGAGTGGTTGTTTATAATAAATTTAACAATAGTAGAACATATAATTTAATTGTATGTTTTTTGTAAGTAATTAAATTCACATCAACAGCCTTTAACAGTCCACTGCTGGACATAAGCCTCTCCTTAGAAAGGAGGTTTTGGCCTACTATAACACGCTGGCCAGACGGGTTGGTATAGGGTGTGTGTCAAGTTTTCCTTCTCTCTGCAGTGCTGTTGTAAGTGTAAGTAATTAAATTATTCAAAGTGAATTTCTTATATTTATATGTATAAACTGATTACCAATTAAATTGATATATTTTACTTGTATTTTTAAGGGTTTCGTTCTTAATAAGGAACCTTTATAGTTTGGCCCAATCCATGTCTATCTGTTTGTGTTGTCCGCAGATTATCTTAGAGGACAGATATTGAGTTTATATAAATACTAGCTGGTACCCGCGACTTCGTTCGCGTGGATTTTGAAAAGCGCTGCCTTAGTGGGTTCGATTCCCGGACAGGGTAAAATTTTATGAGGTTTTTCTGAAAGCAACAATAGCCCAATTTACTCCTTATATAGACAGTTACCTGGTAGTAAAATATTATCAAAATCGGTCTAGCGGTTTAGAAGTTTACCCGGATCAAACAGACAGAGAGACAGACGGATAGACAGACAGACAAAAATAATAATAATTTTATTTTAGGCAGAGGTATCGTGAAAATAACCGTGTGAGCATGAAAAAAACCTATTATTTTCACATTACAAACAGACACTTCCAATTTTATTTATTTGTATAGATTATTGAGGCTCACAAAGTGGTTAAATATGAAAATAAAATTTTAATTTAAATACTAATAATAAAGGACATAAAATTTCATTAACGCGTATCGTATAATGTGAGAAATCGTGACATATGTATTTTGAACATTAATTGGTGTGGCCTACTTGCCCTGGAAGCACGTCAAGCCATCGGTCCTGCCTTCGAACATCTGTGGTAATCGCTACGGGTTATGGGAGTCCTAAATAGTCCGTCAACAGTCTCTCTACAATACATCGATATCGCCTAGTACTGATGGCAGCCGCTCGACCGACTTAACCGTACGTAGTAGAACCCAACCTGGTTTGGGAAAAGGCTCGGATGATGACGATGAATTGGTATGACCTGATACTCTTTTGGCCAGTTTTTTACTCCCCTTTCTCTAAACGTTTAGTCGTCCTTTCATCCTCGGCTTTTCTCACGGACGCAATTTTTATTTGGAAAATAGGGATTCTTCATCATAGTAAGGAACCTAATTTTGTAAATAAAACATTTTCCTTACTCCTAAAGTACCAGACTCAGTTTTAAGTTAAATATATTGTATTATGGTCCGTGTGGTGACGGATTAAGAATACAGAGTGTCACCACCCCTTTTTATCCCGTGGGTGTTGTAAGAGCAAACTAAGTGAAAAAACTACGCAGAACAACAGCACTGCAGAGAGAAGGAAAACTTGACACACACCCTATACCAACCCAGCGTGGAATAGTAGGCCAAACCCTCCTTTCTAAGGAGAGGCTTATGTCCAGCAGTGGACTATTAAAGGCTGTTGATGTGTGATGTGATAGGATATTGTATTTTCTTTTTTTATCTACCAGCGTCATTATTTCCATCGTGTAGCATGAAAGACAAAAAAACTAAATTGGAGATGGAATAGTTGTGATAAATTTGTGCATAATAATAAAATGTATAAGAGTCGTTTACGTATTTATTGATATTCATTTTTCTATCTTAAATATTAATTATTGTACTAAATCATAAAAATAATGTTCTTGAAAAATACAAACATTATTAAAAAATAATGTAATTAAACTATTTGGAGTACACGAAAATCTCAACACAATCGACAAGAAAAACATATTTTTTTGAAGTTGTCGCCGTCGAGCTCTCATTTAAGAAAAAAAATAACCTACTAAAAAAATTGGTTTACAAATGCTCAAACTAAAAAAAATTCAAATGACATTGATAAAATGTAACTATTATTCAGTACACTTTAACTTACCATGATAATAAAATTGAAGAAATGCAGCACACATTTTAGTATAAACACTCCCATTTTTAGTCTTTCAAAAATTATATTAGTTTGAGGAAGATGCGTTCACACAATCAGGTTCAACTATACATTATGTCGCGTAACTCATAAAGTGACGTATTAAAATCATACAAAGGTTTTAATAAATTATGTATAGAATACATTCCCGCGTATTTAAAAAAAAAGCCGTGTTATGTCATTTGTTCCTTATGCTTTTTGTCAAATATTTAATTTATACATTGTGAAGGTATTATTAAAAAAAAATGCGTATATTTTTTTATTTATAAACAAAAAAGAAGTTGATTTGATAATGAACTACATCTATTTGTTTAAAGAAAAGCAGCCATTTATTTATTAAAAATAATAATAACTCGAAAACCATTGATTGTAGAGAAACAAGACTGGTCTCATTTTATTACTCGTCAAAGTCTCCAAAAACCATACGCATCGTGTGCGTTGTTCTTGAGTTATTCATTAAAAAATGCGCAATGTAAGTAGATTACTTACTTTCTCTCTCTCGCTCTGCAGGCAGTTAATGCGGAGCGAGAGAAATAGCGACTAACGCTTTTTCGTAACGTACGATTTTTCTATGAAAATCCCTCACGCCACATCGTCCCATAATGAACTTCGTTTCAAAATAATACAAAGATTTGTTAGGATTTCTTTTCACTTATAGGTAACTAATGAGACACTGCCTGCGGAGCGAAAGAGATAGCGACTAACGCTTTATCGTAATATACGCTTTTTTTATGGAAATCCCTCTTAATGTGGTCATCGTCCCATAATGAACTTCGTTTCAAAATAATACAAAGATTTGTTAGGATTTCTTTTCACTTATAGGTAGTTACCTATAATGAGATGGTAGATTTGTTATCAAAGTATTTAGCACCCTACATGCCTATTGTTACAACTTAGTTCTACATATCTGTTATCCTATAAAAACTGCAGTGAAACAGTCTTATGTTACTGACACTGAATAAAGTTTTTTTGCAAAATGAATTTACAGTACATTTCCGTTCGAATTGGAGCTGTCTAACTAATAAGGTGTCATTTAATCTTGTCTACAGTAGACTTTTTTTTTTTTTCTTTTGTTGACAAAAGAAATAAAGGGAGACAGTGTAAAGGTTGGGAAGACGACTTCAGACAATGGCGGGCGCTAAGTGGAGCCGAATAGCTAGGGATCGAACCGCATGGAAGTCCTTGGAGGAGGCCTTTGTCGTGAGACAAGCTGCTACACATAAAGCGATTACCGATATACTATAATGACCACAACGGGGTAACAAGTATAATATTAATGTAAATAGTATAACATTTAAGAAAATATTGTAGAGAGTAACAGTAATAAAGGCTCATTTTATTTTTATTTTATTTTTATTACAGTAGACAATTATAGTTACAGGACAAGTTTAGATAACTGGTAAGATATTATTATAATAATTCATATATTATAAGTGTCAGTTATTGTATTTTAAAGGAAAGTTTGATATTTAGTTTTCAGTATAAATAATTATTCAATATAAACGCCTATTTAAATAAGAGCAGCGAATATCATAAATTGCATTTGCTCATATAATTTGTTCAGGCGTTTTATTAAAATTACTCATTTAATGTTTTGTTTCATTTATTGACAAGTGTAACTGATTGTACAAAATTTGAATATATTTTTATTCATCATCATCATCAGCCTATCGCAGTCCACTGTTGGACATAGACCTCTCCCATTGCACGCCACTTAAATCGATTTTGGGCTTCTCGCATCTAGCTCCTGCCAGCCATCTTGCGCAAATCGTCACTCCACTTGGCCTGTGGGCGTCCTACACGACGCGGTCTTTATTTTTATGGTTTTGTATGAATGCCAGGTCAAAGGAAAAGTGGTTTTACAAGTTTTTAGATAATTTATAACGTTAGCACGTTTTGTCATAGGTATGACAAAATAAACTTTTTTTTTCTTGTCTGTTTGCTTACAAGATGTGTATGAAGAAGTGTTCTCACGCATTAATATATGTGATAAATGTATTTATAATTTGCTTTTGTAAAATTGAAATGGGATGAACTTTAGGTGGACATATTGGAATTACTTAGTCCGTTAATTCTAGTTAGAACGTTTTTAATTTATACCTCAAATAAGTTCATTGTTATACATCATCATTAATCATTGGATTATCCGTTTTAGGCATTGATTGTTTCTTTCTGTAAGTCATTTAGTAATCATGATCGTACTAGTTAGACTCTCTCATGTTGAATAAACTCAAAGGCGATTATGATTATAATTTGAAAAAAAGAAACAAATATTTAAGGCAGAAGGCTCTTCATATACCCGCACATTTTCATAATTTGTTATATTTGTTGCATACGATATCGAAATAATCAATACATCAATCAGCCTTTCGCAGTCTACTGCTTATTCAGCGAACTATGTCGTTAACTTTGGTTCTTCTGAAGAAGACTTCCTAACGAATTTAATCATTCAAAAAAACTTCAAGCACGGCAAATTCCATTGTCTGTTGCGCGACTTTAACTAGCCCCACCACTATAAAGGTGATATAGTCATAGAATAAAATATATATAAATTAGTAAAGCACAATATAATATATAATACTATATGATATAGTACATATATTGAAGAGTGCCACCACCCTTATTCATCCCCTGGGTGTCGTAAGGGAACCAACTACGCATGACAACAGCACTGCATCATCATCAACATCAACAGCCTTTAATAGTCCACTGCTGGACATAGGCCTCTCCTTAGAAAGGAGGTTTTGGCCTACTATTACCACGCTGGCCAGACGGGTTGGTATAGGGTTTGTGTCAAGTTTTCTTCTTATTGCAATGCTGTTGTCCTGCGTTGTTTTGCGCCCTTAGTCGGCTCTTACGACACCTACGGGATGAATTGGGGTAGTGACATTCCGTATTCTTAATCCGTCACTACACGAACGATACAGCATTGCATAAAAAAAAGGAAAAATTGAAACAGATCCTATACAAACCCATTTGTCCAGCATGGTATAGTAGGCCAAAACCCCCTTTCTAAGGAGAGGCTTATGACCAGTAGCGGACTAGTAAAGGCTGTGAATGATAATGATAATATAGTATACGACACTTTTTCCCTATACTCGTAGTATAGACAAACCATGTCGACCGCAGAGGCTTGATATTGTTACGAGGCGGAGTCCGTAATTAGACTAATTTACATATGAAATAGACACGATATATTTGAGTTATTTACAATCAACACAACAATCAACCATAAATAACAAATTATCACTTACTTACGAGTAACTGTACTGTTGTACTCATTATGTCGCAAACCAGAACTAAAACGAATATATACCCAGTTCCGGCGAATACAGCCTGGGTTTATCTCATGGGTAAATTTTCCAGAAGGTTCCTGAACTTCTCCAAAAACTCTTGTAATAATTTGACTGACTCTACACTACTATTTTTTTTAAAGATAGCTCCCGCACGAGGAATAAGTCCTGTGTCGCGGGGGACCTTACAAATATACATGGAACGGACACAAAGCCGTGTGGGTCGAACCCACAACACTCGACGCAGTAGGAAGCGGCGTGGCGACCGCTTAAACCACTACGCCATCCGTGCAGTCCAGTTATTGTTTATTGTAATGTACTGATAGACGTATTTAGTGGTTTAGTTTAGTGTTTAAATATTTTGATTTCATGGCATACATGATAACGCCTTATATCAACAAAATTGCTATGTCCTAGCAGTGTTTCGTATCTTTAGAAGCAAAATTGTATTTAACACCTTATGTACACATAACACATTAAAAACGTTGACTTTGACTTTGTCTAGAAACAGCTAGAACATTCTGGAATGTTTAAACTTTTCTAGGTGTTCGATTAACTCCATGTTTCGTATTTAGTCAAATACTTTTCAACAGGAAGTTAAATACGTCGCTGAATATTATCTACCACAAAATAATAGGTCGATTTTTTTTCACTTTTTGTGTCACGGTAACAGACTGGGGTCTTCTTTGAACCGCAAGTCCGTGATTCATTAAGGGCCATCTGTAATTTACAGGAGGTTAACCAATTGTGGGAGTCCTCTCGCGCGGTAGTATGATTACCGCCATGGTACGGAGCGAGAGTGCGTGGAACTCCGCCATCTCCTTCTGCGAGCAAGTTATGCTTGCGAAGGAGACGGCGGGGACCGGGAGAGGTTTAGAACTCTCGCGGCCCGCCAGGCCAGGGGGCCAAGGGAACGGGCCAGGTGCCGCAGACGACCTATGTCGTCCATAGGCGCAGGCCTGGGGGTGACAGGTGAGGCCATCTGTCACCCTAGCAGAAGCAGGCCGCGGAGCGCGTGTGCCCAAAAGGGGAGAGAGGAGCACCAAGGGGACATAGGGGTTCCCACACAGGAGGGGGTCATCTACCCACCGTAGATGCCCCGGGCTACGTCGGGGTACCAGGGATTTCTTTTCTAGGGTACACCTGTTTCCCCGGCTACTGGTACCCGAGACGGCGTGCGGGTTTTAGTCGTTTCGAGTCCGACATAGCCACCGGTAGGTGTTATCCGAGGGGATTTCCGCAAGAAAAAAAAAAGAGGTTAACCAATTGCGGACTAAGGGAGCAACTTACATAGCACTGCAAAGAGAAGGAGAACTTGAAATAAACACTATACACACACTACAGACGGGTGTCTAGCCAGCGTGGTATAGTAGGCCAAAACCTCCTTTCTCAGGAGGGGCCTGTGTCCAGCAGCGGACTATTAAAGGCTGTTGATGAAACCAATTGTGACATTGTATGATAAGGGGATTCCAGAACTTATTAACGCCACATGCTAAAATTTAAAGAATTATACAAAAGAAATAATAGTCTACTGCTGGACATAAGCCTCTCCTTAGAAAGGAGATCTAAGGAGAGGCTTATGTCCAGCAGAGGACTATGTCTAGGTACTAGACTGTATATTATAGATAAATTACACCCAGAGACAGAACAAATGCTCGTGCTCATCAAATGATTATTTGTCCTGGGTCTAAATCGAACCCACGACCCCTGGCTTAGCAGTTAGGATCGCTAACTGCTCGACCAACAGGCCAGTCGATTCTCTTAACTAGTGGTGAGTAGGTGACTAGGTCCAGTCGCAAATGGTATCTATTCAAATATTTTAGCAAAGGCTTTTTATGTTACCTATGTCAAATTTAAAAAGTAGGTTAATCTGTTACTATTAAGACAACGTGTTTTATTTAATAATGGTAGCCTTGGCCTTTACTCTAGGAGTATTAAAATTAAAATGAATCATGATATCTAAGGTAAAATGATAATTCTACCACCAACACTTCGAGCACAAATTCACCTACGCACAGAGTCTCGGATTACTAGAACCGGCGGTCTTTCGCGCGACTCACTGGAGCCAGCAGCATTCAGTTGCAGCAGTCACTGAAAGTACTCACAAAACTCAATCCTACACTCATTCAAAACAGGATTGCGTACATATAACACAACCTGTATCGCGCAATGAAAATTTTCACATTGATTACTTTCAGCAAGGCAAGTTTACGTTGACAGTGCATCAATTACCTACTTATGGCCTAAAGTGTTTACAAAATGCTATAACACTGTATTTTATAACATTGCATGTAATTTCTACCTATGAAATTTAAAAATTAATTAATTAATGCATAATCAAATTAATCATGCTTAAATAAATATTGAAACAACGTAGTCGAAGACGGTACAATAATTATGAAATTTAAATTTTATTGTTCATACAAAAGTACTCATCATCAACAGCCTTCACTAGTCCAGAAACCTCTCCTTAGAAAGGAGGTTTTGGCCTACTATACCACGCTGGCCAGACGCCGTGCGGGTTTTAGTCGGTTCGAGTCCTCTTTTTTTTTTTAGAGTTTGTGTCAAGTTTTCCTTCTCTCTGCAGTACTGTTGTCATGCGTGGTTTGCTCCCTAAGTCGGCTCTGACGACACCCACTGGTTGCATAGGGATGATGACACTCTGTATTCTTAATCCGGAGTGTCATCACCAATATTCCTAGTACTCATAGAATCCTTTTTTTTTGTATTTTGACGCTTTTTATTGTAGAAGAGACGAGACGAGACGACGACAAATGAGATGACTATATATAGTACTTCTGTCAAGAAAGTATCTGAAAAAGATCAATAATACACAAAATGTTTGTTATTCATCCAAATTTAATTTATCACCTTCAAAGTATACTCCTTCAGAAACGATATACTTACGCCTACGAATAATCCAATCATCTAAACATTTTTAAACGCTGTTTCCGGAATTGAGTTCAGTTTCTCGCTGCGAATTCTTCTTTATGTCTTCTACCGATTGAAAACGGATGCCACAAAGTGGTAATTTGAGTTTAGGAAAAAGAAAGAAGTCGGCTGGGAGCCATATCTGGTGAATATGGTGGTTGCTCGATGGTATTTGTTGAGTGTTTGGTCAAAAATTCGGTCACAATGATGGCCTTGTGTGAATTATCGTGGTGCAAAATCCAAGAATTTTCTTTCCACAAATCCGGCCTTTTTCGTCGAATTTGCTCTCTTGAATGCCGCATAACGCTTAAATAACCGCGATAGTCAAAGAAAACACTCAACATGACTTTGACTTTTGATCGACTTTGGCGTGGTTTTTTCGTTTTCGATTCAGTTGGAGCGCGCCACGTGATGCAAAATTTAAAACAAACTCTTTGTTCGATGTTTTTGTACATTATGAAAATCGCAATACACACTAGATATGATATAACTAAAAACATCACTATATTTAATATAAATAACAGATGCAACTCAAACTCCGCGCCAAAATGGAAAACAGTTGTGCCAATCTAACAACAACAAAAAAAAATTTTGGAACCATAAACAAATCATCCATGCCCGAAACTTTTTTGACTGAATATATAGTTATGGATGGTTTGCTTTTGTAGCATTTTTTTTCCAATTTAATTTAATTTAGGTTGTTTAAATTGTTACATTTTTTTTCCCCTTCCTTATTTTATTACATTGATGTGTCCCACAAATATATATTTACACAAAAACACACTTGAATGGTTTCGAGCTGACGACATTCAGTTGTATGGGCTGCAGCTGCAACAAACAAAAATAATCCAATAATAAATTTTTTTTTCTAATCCGTCTATATATGACGTTATGATGATATGAGTTATGCCCTCGAACATACATAAGAAATATTAAAGGCAACATACAACTCAAAAAACCAAATTATCTTAACATGGTTTTTTGAATTGTGACGTTATTAAGCGGATGCGGGATACATCTACGTACATTCCGCGTGTGCGTTTATTGACCTTTACCGTCTATTATAACTAATGTAACATATGCTAATTTATTGATAAAATACACGTTTGCAGTAGAAACCATAATATTTGTAAATTTATCAGAGAAAAGCCTTAAAAACAAAACCATGTTTTAATGAGTCTAGGTTTAGTTCGATTATTTGGGTTTTTTAAGCTGCTTCATCAGGGTTGGAGTCGACTTTAAGACTACTACGATACGGCTGAGCTTGGATTTTTTATGTGGAGTGACTGTCATCAGACCTTCACATGTTCGTATGGCAACCGGAATAACGTGGTCTCCGAGGCATGTAATAGTAATAATAACCTCACACATCTGACACACGGCTGTCTGATCCCAAACTTGTCAGAGCCTGTGCTATGGTAACCGGATTGCTGATAAACATACTTATATATTTCTAAATACATACATATTATAGATAAATTACACCAAGACACAGAACAAACGATCGTGCTCATCACACAAATATTCGTCCTGGATGGGAATCGAACCCACGACCGGATTTAGCAGTCAGGGTTACTAGCCCCTAGACCAACAGGCCCGTCAAAGTGGTCAACAAACTACATTCGATAACAACAAACTACACAAGTATAAAACAAAAAACTTCATTGGAGAATGTTATGTTGATAAGTAATTAAGTTCGTAGCTACTTGTCGTTCATATTTTCATATATTATCAAAATAATAGTGTTTCACATCTCACCTGCCATCTGACGGTTACTTATAACATCAATATATAACGTCAAATCAAATAATGCGCTTATCGGACTTCCTGTTACACACTTCCGTCCCTTTTCACAAAAAATGTTCATAAACAATAACAATAAGAAATCTTTCGAAGAGAAAGGAAACATTACATTGAAACATTTGACTGCCTCTAAGGTGCAGTGGTAGCGTATGCGACTGCTGTGCTAAGATCTCGAGTTCGATCCGGGTCGGATGGACCAAATGTTTCCATGTTCTTTTTGTATTTTCATGGTGGTTTGTCAGAATTTCAATTATTACTACAACGAAAAACCGTTATCTATCACTTATTTCGACTACTTAAAATATAGCCACTTCTCTCTCATTCCGGCCCGGTGACATAGCTATTTCTTCTACAGCTTACAAACATTAAAAATATATAATAAGAAAACAGCTGTAGGCAATAATATTCTGCAAATAATGATAAAATTTTCATTCAGTACTGGGGCTTTTCGTATGACGATGAATCGTCATCATTTTTACGTACCTCAGTTCACAAGTCCGTTCAAATTCGTAATATAAATATTGATATTTATAGAGATCAGCTCATTAAGTCAGCCGGCATTGGCAGAGTACAGGTTCCTCAGTACTCGTTGAACGGACGCGTGCAATACACGTCGGTGCGAAACGCGAACGTAATTAAAAGTTATCCGCAACCATAATTTAAATTTAAAAAAAAACTATTGTGTTACAAAATGGCCACAGATGAAGTGAAGTTGGAAATTGTGAACGAGAATAACAAGGGTTCAGACCAGCATTTGGATGACGAAATTGACAGGATTTTCGGCAAGCCCCCTTTGCCGAATTTTTCTACAAACGGATTTTTAAACAATTTACAAAACGATGGAATACATTTGGTAAGCATTTAATATATTTTTAATAATAATATGCTCATAAACGAAACAGATTGTCATCAAACGCGGACATAAGCCAACAGATTTTCTATTAACATCGAAAATTACTTAACAACAATGGAAGAAATACTGAACCGCGGTCGTTAACCTGAAACTGAAATATTTAGTTGTAACTTAAACTTTAGAATGCTTTCTGACAATGTAACACTGCATTCTTGATTTTATTATTATTACCTTGACCACGTCATAAAAATAAAAGTGAATTATATTAAGCTGCAATTGCTGCTGGGTGTTCTTTTTGTCCGTTTCATGTATGTTTGTAAAGTCCCACGCGACACAGGATACATTCCTAATCCGGGATTTGTCTTTAAAATAATAATAATAATAATGTAATTTCTCGTACACTTTACAAATAAGTATAACAATCTAATGAATGCAGCCTTACTCCATAAGCTTAGGCCCATGGATACATCATTTACAGAAGTATAGATAGGATGATGGTCCGTGTGGTGACGGATTAAGAATACAGAGTGTCACCACCCCTATTCATCCCGTGGGTGTCGTAAGAGCCGACTAAGGGAGAAAACTACGCAGAACAACAGCACTGCAAAGAGAAGGAAAACTTGACACAAACCCTATACCAACCCGACTGGCCAGCGTGGTAGTGGCCAGTAGGCCAAAACCTCCTTTCTAAGGAGAGGCTTATGTCCAGCAGTGGACTAATAAAGGCTGTTGATGATGATGAAGATAGGATGAGATCGGATAGTAATGAACAATATCTAATGGTTTAGTCAATGAAATGGAATACCAAAGAATACCAGGAAGACCAATACCAAGAAAATATATACTAGTCTTAGAAACCATGCAGTTGTAAACCGACTTTAAAAAATAAAACGACGTTAGGGGTCTACGGACCCTCGGCCGTAACGAAGTTCGCGAAGATGTATATAGTTCATACACAGAAAGAAGAAAGACAGAAAACACAGCTATAACTATAGCAAGAAGTGTCGAAAAAAAGTCTTGTTACACATTTTTCAGTCTCGCTCCCATTCGTTCAGAGCGTGTAACGCTCAATAAGGAACTTTGTTCCAAGAACCAGACCGGTAGTAACTCTTCCCAAAAATATAAAATAATTTTCCAAATCGGTACATAAATAACGTTCTGAGGTAACAAACTTAAAAAATAATACAACTCTATTGAGAAGAGAGTACACGCTTTCATTAGCTTGGTACTCGTATGTACTTAACGGAATCTTCGAACGTGAATTTGACACAATTCAAAACGTCCAATTAAATTAAAACTTCGCTGACTTATCAAGGACTGATGACAATACAATAATATGATAAATTTGGGTGATTACTTTGATCAGGATCTTCAGGATTAACGGCTTTTTATATCTAAAGATACGGTAGTCTTTTGCTACGTTCTAAGAGGCGTATGCGGAAGCATATATGACTTACTTACTTGTTACGTTTTTAGTATTGTTAACCAAATTATTAATCATTAAATGACTAAAAATGCAAATATAAATTATAGTTTAAAAAATTATAAAACACACTTGTAACTAGCCGAGAACCAAAAAGTAGATAATTTAAATATTTTTTTGTAAAAGAAAAATCAGTTTATCGTTAAAAACGTTGGGTGCTTTACAAGATATTTCACAATATAATAACTTTACTTTTAACTTTGTCCGTGTTGTGACGGATTAAGAATAGGGATTGTCCCCACCCCCATTCATCCCGTGGATGTCGCAAGAGCCGACTAAGGGAGCAAACTACGCAAGACAACAACATTTCAAAGAGAAGGAAAACTTGACGCAAACCCTATACCAAAACGTCTGGCCGACGTGGTAGACATTCTCCCTACCTCTCTTTCTTGTTATAAGATTTGAGTGAAGTTCACTGATATCTATGCAACAACTATCTTTAATACGGTTTAGAAAATTCTACACCGGACCTCACACCAAATCAATCAGAATTATAAATAAAAATAGATCAATCGTCAGAAGTTTTGGTCCATGTGGTGATAGATTCAAAATACCGCGAGTGTCGTAACAGCCGATTAAAAAGCAGGATAACAGCTCTGTAAAGAGATGAAAAACTTCAAACAAGCCCTATAAGAATCCATCTGGCCATCGTGGCCAAAACCTTCTTTATAAGGAGAGGCCTATGTCCAGAAGTGGACTGGTGAAGGCTGTTGATGATGATGACTTTTAACAATATCTGTAAATAAAATATTTTTACAATTGAGATCAGCACCCCCATTCATTTTTATGATAAAACTAGCTGACCCGGCGAACTCTGTTCCGCCTTAAAGTTGTTGATACACGACATTTTTTGTTTTCTTATCAGGCGCAAAAACAAACAACGCAGATGGTCTTCCGACCAATACTCAACGTTGCAATGTGACAGTTCCACCGTTGTCATCTGGTGATCGAAGCCGATACAAAAAAAAAAATACGGAATAAATAGTATCCTATGTCCGTCTCCTGGCTCTAAGCTACCTCCTCACCAATTTTCAGCCATATCGGTAAAGCCGTTCTTGAGTTATAAATAGTGTAACTAACACGACTTTCTTTTATATATATAGATGATTGATTTTGAAGTCGGTTAAATCGACTTATTTTTTATAGTGTCAAAGATTTTTTTAATTTGATTAGTATGCGAGGAAAATGATATTATTCCTCGCAGTGCGTAGTGCAAATGCGTGTTATTAAGAACTTTTGAAAATAATGTCTTCACGGCTACTCTAACTTAGCTCAACTTATGTACCTAACACTAATATTATAGTAAATGTATTTCTACTCTAATTCGGCATTTACACAATGTTTACCTAACACGAAAAAGCTATACAACATCATCTATTTATAATAATTATGCGTTATCTGATAAAAAGTCCATTTATACATATGTATATGTGACAGATAAACAAAATGGACTCGTCAAAGCTAATCATACGGGCCTGAACTTAATGTATTGACTTGCAGCATTGGTTTAAATAGTTAGTTACAAATTAAAGCAAAGTAAAGTGAACAGAAGCAACTAGTTTGGTTCTTTAATAACACTACTAACCTTTGCCCCCGGCTACGTCCGCTTTTATGTCGGTTATCGCGGTTAGAAGCCTTCCTTCCTCAGTAATCAAACTATCTCCTTACCAAATTTTATCTAAACCGGTTCAGCGGTTTAATCGTGAAGAGATGGCAGACAGACAGACACACTTTCGCGTTTATAATATTAGTATGGATATTATAAAGAGCAACAAGTAAATGAATTTAAATACATATTTATGGAGGATGTTGTCAGTGATAATTCGGGCTTGTCTGACTAGTAGTAGACACGACAAGGGTTCTTTTTCAAGGAGCGAAATGTCCCAAACCGACCAAAACGACCGATTGACCAAAGCTGGCCGATGCAGGCTGGCTGATTGCAGATGTGACCACCAGACCTTGCACCTACCGACTATTACTTTTTCCAAAATTTAGACAACTTTTTAGTGGGTAAAAAATTTAATTCCCGAGAGGCAGTCCAAAATACCTTTGAAGAGTTTGTTGCCTCCCGTCCAGCAGATTTTTACAAGAAGGGCATCAATAAACTGCCAATGCGTTGGCAAAGATGCGCCGATTGCATGGGTGATTACTTCGAATAACAGAAATAAAAAAGTTTGGAAAAATAAGTACTTTCACTTATTGCATACAAAACGGCAATTTCATAGGTAAAGACCTATTATCTTTAATTAGTTGATGAACTTCGTCTGCTTTTCCCCGTTTTCGCAACATTTTATATTGGCGCTCGGCATCGATGCATCTATTGGTCGTAGCGTAATGTTATATATTCTATAGCCTTCCTCGTTAAATGGGCTATCCGACAGTAAAAAAAAACTATTAAAACCTGTGGTTCCTGAGATTAGGAGATTATAACCAACCAAAGACACTCTTCAGCTTAATAATATTAGTATTGATTAATATGAATTGTAATACTGTCAATACAGCGTGTCACCACCCCTATTCATCCTTCGAAAAAAATTCCTTTCTAAGGAGAGGCCTATGTCCAGCAGTGGACTATTAAAGGCTGTTGATGATGATGATGAATATGGATACTACTCATAAAGCTTCCTATTCTAGTAAACATAAACAATATCTTGCTAAAAGCATGAAAATACCGCATTGCCCTTGTTTTTGCTCATTGTGCATTGCTCATTAACCACATCATAAGCATACCTATATGCATAATACAGTTCCCGAAAAGATTATTTAAATACGTAAATGCGGTATAAATTCAATAACATATGTTATTTGCTTTATAATTAGTCTACCAGTAAACAAACAATATCTCTCTGCCAGAGTCATGCTTCCGCACATATGAGTCGGCCCTGCTGGAGTGTTACCACGGCTTCACAGAAAACCAGTGTTAGGTAATTATTTTAAGGCTTTTAACCAAGTCTCCTCCTCCTTAATCCAGAGGGAGAAGCGCTGAAGGGGCGGTGAAACACTTCTGTTTCCTGAGTTGCGGGTGTTGATTTATGTAAGGCATTTATGAAACCCTATATTTTGATTCACCACTCGATAGATTTTAAAGAAAATAATCTTCTGAAAATATGTTATTTGGGGCAAAAAATTGACATTTAAATTAAGTTTCATTTACCCATTGTCACTGTCAATAGGCTAGGCTGACTCAATTTGAAAACTTGGTTAATTATATACTTTAATATCTATTTTATCCCAAAAAAACTATATTTTAAAGAAAAAGCAATATTTACATTACGTATTATTAGTATTTTAAAAAGACAATTTAAATTGCATTCGAAAACGCTGAATAGTGTCATGGCGTCTTGAATGATGACACAGTCTGCGAAATAAAACTGTTTACATCTGTGTCCAGTGTCAACTGTTTTCAAAAAATGACTAAGGAATAAGGAGTAACCTGCTCTGTTGTATGAAAACGTCAACAACAATAATGATGTTTTGCGTGGCGTGACGTAACACTTTCTGATTGGTGTTCGTTGTC